CGCGATTTTTTGCTTCTTTTTTATTCATCGCTTGCTAATGAGAAGCATTTCGATATGCGAATTGAGGGAGCTTGAAGGATCCAAAACCTTGCATAATAAAGCGAAGAATTTAGTAACATACGCGTTTCAATCTCAGTCTCTATTTCCTCGAGCAACACTTGGCAAAGTGTTTCTTCCGTTTCTGCACGTGTTACTTATAACACGTGTCAGCTAAATATGTGGAAAATTTTAGTCGCTTCAACCCCCAAATATGTACCTTCGCAAAACAGACATCCATTCTCGCGGTTCATAAATAATAGTCTTATAGATGAAATACGATTGTAATTTTTGAAAAAACCAATGATTTCAATGATAGTGAAATTCAATATAATAACTACTTTGTATTGTACTTCCACTGGGATTAATTATTTATTACAATAATTTTGCGAAATATTTCTGAAAAATTTCGGTACGTAGAAAATTTACTTTTTTTTAAATTACATTTTAAATCTAATTTTACGTAATATAAATTAAAATCAAACTTTTCGAGGGTTATATATAAATTACCATTCTTTTGCATCAGAGTTTTCTTTGAAATTAAATTCTTTTTTCTCTAAATATATCTTTTTAGCTGTAATTTCTGACTCCTCTTTAAATTCAAATCAAACATCGATTGTATAGAAAATTTCCAGAAATTTACATTACGCTGACACGTGCTTGTATTGAAGCCATACATATTATCGATCTTCATTTAAGTCTTCGCCTTTTGTTTACACGAATATATATCTCAAGTTTGCCAAGTAATGTATTAGAACACGACACGTGACGTTTTTCCTCACGCGTGGCAATTGGTCACGTTTTCCTTTAAAGTTCAGCCTTTCCTTGAAAATCAATCGGTGCAATTGCGTTAAATATCGCGTAAATATCATGTGCAGCGGAGCGTGCAACTCGTCAGTGTATATGTATAAGATTTCCATTATCGAGAGAAGCGAGAGAGAGAGAGAGAGAGAGAGAGAGAGAGAGAGAGAGAGAACTCCTTTATTTAATATTCTTCAC